ATTAACTGTACCTTTTATTTTTATTCTTAAATTTCAATAAAAATTTATCACTTTAAATTTCAGACAAAAAAAACCTGTGACGTCCACATGCATAAATGATACATGTGACAACCAGAAATATTTTTCAGAGGATGATAGAGGAGGAATTAACATAATTTATTCACCTGCAATTTGACAGTTTGGAGTGTGTGCTGTAAATGAGTTATTTATTCAATGGATTCACTGACAAGTGTAATCTGTAAAATTAAATGGCAACGTCATTGCACAGCACATGTTCGAGTAAACAAAAAATGTATGTTATGCATGTTGTACAAGTTGCAATGAGTCCCATAGAGCAGTGGAAGTCACACAGCGCATGTTTGAATTTTGTGTACTTTATTTTAGCTTGAATTAATTTTCACTGCAAAGACTTTTTTGGTGTTTTGTTTGAAACTTATTTTCACAGAATTTTGACAAATTGAATGTAAAATATAGGAAAAAAGGTAAATTCGCTGGAATTTATTTTCACTGAATCATTCCTTCAGCGAAAATAGCAAAATTAATTCCAAGCGAAAATAAAGTATTTTACAGTAAGTTACTATGAGTGCCATAAAAGAGCAGTGGCAGTCACGCAGCGCGTGTTTGAATTTCATGTAAACAATGTACTTTGCCCACATTGTATACGTCGCTATGAATCCCATATCGAACAGGACGCGGCACAACAACAAACACTTTAAATCTGCTTGAGCATACAAAGTTATTGTTTAAATAGAAAATCTGTTAGGCCTGAACAAAAAAATAACCTTGTGGATGTGCAGAAGTATTTTTTAATATGAGAGCCAATTTTTTTTGCAAAATTTGAAATGCAAGAACCTTTCAAGTCCAGTTAAGAAAGTAATTTTGATCACAGTGTGCAATAATCACTAAGCTTAAGTTCTCTTCATTTCGTCATACATGAGGACTGCTACGGACAAATTGTTGTCGGGCGACGGAAATTTGAGTATTCTCGGGATAGAACATTTTCACAACCAGGCAACCATCACCTGTAATTTGGATTAGTTGTTGAGAGTTTTCTGAACATTGTAACAAAACTACCCCTCCATGTAGATTGTCCCATAGTTGAGTTTGTGTTGTTTTCTCAAGTTTTCACCGGCTCCACCGGCGTTCCACAGCAGCGCGCACAGAGCCCATAGAAATGCATGTACAGTGGTGCGCGTCTTAGCAACATGGAATGTCTTGTGACATAGCTCCGCCCACGAGGATTGGCATCTTTGGCCGTCTTAAACCAGCAACGTAGAGCGCTCTGCAATGTATCTCCGTCCTGAGAATGTCCAAGGGTTGATGAACTTTGGAAGGATTTTACACTGTTT